TAACCGTTAAAGGGGTTTCCCATAGCCCATGTCTGATCGTCTCCATCTTCACCATACCAAGCATCTTCGTGCTCATGTATCTTGCCGCCGTCAATCATGATCGCGTGGGTATATCTTTTAGGCTTAAGTTTGTCCCAGTCCACTGGACACCCACCATTGGTGGGGAAGGCTAACTCTTTCCTCGGCCGTCGGTGCTGACATATAACTTTGTTCCCCTTTATTACCCACTCATCCTTAGGTTCCTCAACTTTGGCGCTCTGCGGAGGTGGTACGTTGATCCTCAGGTTCTTCGCTTGACTTTCTGATTCTTGTTCACGATTTTCTGATGCGCGACTTTTGCTCTCAAGCCTTAACTGTGCAGACGCTAGTCTTGCTTGGATGTTCGGGCTCTCTTGTTTCTTTAACCATTCAATGACTCGAGCCCTGCAATCGGCGTTGTGCGGCTTGTGCTCTTTGTCTCCTCTCACGAGGCATTTGCATCCGTAACACCCTGGCGTCGGTCCCATTTTCAAGTATTCATGCTTTTTAACTGCAATTCCTCTTGCAATGAGTGGCTTCGTCTCAGGCGCAGTTAACTCTTGCTCTGGTAGATCCATGGGTACCATGATTCGAGACTGTAATTCCATTCCCGCTGTGCTTGGATCAGGCTGCCAAGGTAATCCCTTTATTTCGGTAATCTCGGCAATATTCCATCTTTCAGCGTCACTTCCCTTTCTTTTAAACTCGTGCGCCTTGATTGCGCCATGAGGCGTCCCAATGATCAGCTCCCGACTCCTTTCGCTTATGCCCAGGAACACTCCGCTTTCCCATCTCATTTCGAGCTTCTCGCGACCCTTGTGCGCGGGTGTCTTTAAACACATGACACACTCACCGAACTCTGGTATTTGCTTGTTAAATTTTCGTCCCCTGCACCTCTCATGAGCCGTCTTCCCATCCGTGTCTATTGTGAACTTGTTAATCAAAGAGGACGCATAACTTACCAGCCAACGTATTATCTGATGACTTTCTCCAAACTCAGTTTTATAATTGGCGTCCAGGGCGCTCTTTAACGTTCTGACCTGGCCCTGCACTGTTCTAACGGCTCTCTCAATTTCGCCGTTGGCCTTTGAATCTCCCACTGGGCTGACTTCAACTCCCATGTCAAGATCACGCGAAGCTTTAATCCTATTGGCCAATGCGGTGATTGCTGCTTCCCCATCACTTTTGAGTATCACTCTCTTGTATCCGGTAAAACTTATCATGTCACATCCTACTTTTACCGAGTACGAGTCCACTCCCTTTTTCATTAACACTCTGCTCCAAGTCAATTTGGTCTCTCTGCAATGCATGACCAAAATTGGGTTGCCATTGCTACTGCTTTCCCCCTCATCTTTTCTTCCTTTTTTAAGCCACATGTAGTCCATTGAAATAACTGGCACGCTCCCGTTCCCCTCTCTTTTGCGTCTCGGGTGGTTGCGTCTGCGAGCTTTTCCTCTAACACAGTGTGGGCACCAGCTTCGGTAAGGTAAGTGCGTCGTGTTGTGCGCTTCAACTTCCTCTTTCGAGGGCCTCATATCACAGTAAATCTTCTTTGGTAACTCTGCCTCATCACTCACAAATACATCTTCCACATCACTTAACTCACTGTCGTTGCCCCCACTATCACTTCTTTCGTCTTCTTCGGTATTAAAGACGTTTAAGTTTTCGCTTGGTCTTACGGGTGACGGGGGGCTTAGTAGAACAGATCCGCCTCCAGGGCTCCCGGCCGCGGAAAACCCTCAGTCACGTTCACTTCAGTCCTGGGATTGACGGCTTCCGCTGGTCCCTTTGGTACTGTGATGTTGAACTGGAATGTACCATTCTTTTCATGGATGGCTGTTAACTTGCCAGTCGCTTTGTTCATGATGTGGCTCAGGGACTTCCCGTTAGGATCCTTGTCGGACACTACTCTGTTTCCAGCGTTTACCATCTCTCTTACCGAGCCTAGGACTTTGTTGACCTCTGCCACCTGAATTGGCATACTGACTGCGTTCCCATGCTCATTTTTACCTGTGATCACGCGTTGACCATAATTCTTTATCGTGGTTCCATTCGCTGCACTGTAGTGTCGTCCCTGCTTTGACGCGTCCGCGTGCTTAATGGGGAAATGAGTGCCAACTCTGGGGGGGCCCACTGTGTTGTAGGCGCCGGAGTCCACGGTGACCACGATCGTCTCATGTGTTGCACTTGGTGGCGGTACTGCGTTAATCTCCGGATCACCTCCACGCATCTCAATTAGTCCAATTTCTTTGCATTTCACCAGCCAACCTTTTTCCTGCCTCACGCTTTTATTTATTCTTTGATCCCACTGACTAGTATGGTGACGGTCTCCATCGTACTGGTGTTCCTGATGGATTCTTCTCATGTTTACCGCGTTGTCACGCGCCGTCTTCTTTCTGGCGTAATAGGGCAGGTCCCATTTCTCGTTAACCTCCTCGATCGCCGCCTGGTCTAGTGACACGTTCATTGCTTCCTTCATCTCAACACTGAGAACGTGTTGTGGTTGGCCGAACGAGGTGGTTTGTTCAGTTTCGGTGTTTACTGTAGGCTTCTCTTGCTCAACTTCGTTGGCGGTCTTCTTGGAGCCCGGGCAGTTAATGGCAACATGCCCCTTTCCACCACACTTGTAACATTCACGCTCACTGTGTGGAGTAAATTTCCCTTGGCTTCCGTAGCTTCCTCCCCATGAGCTATTTCCTTTGCCTCCTTGTTTACCTCCGATCTTACCTTTCACATAGGATCCGTAAGTGGCCCGGTAACCTTTGCCTTTTCCGCCTTTGCCACCTTTACCTCCTTTGGTGAACTGCTTGGGCCTCGTGCAGTTCCTGGCTAAATGACCCATGCCTCCACAATTGTAACACCTGGGGCCCATTCCTTTGCCTTTACCTTTGTTTACGGCGTCGATTTCTTCATGTTCTCCCCCGTCACTTTCATTGGCCCAGGACCCGTGATTCCACGATCCATCCTCTGACCACCAGTTTCCATCTTCGTCAACCCATCCTGTTTGGTCCCAAACGTTTTCGGACCCTTGACTCATCTCGTTGATATTTCCAATGTCCATTGCATCCTTGTTTCTTGTGTCTGAGTCAAGTTTCTTTTTACGCGCCCAGTCTTCACACTTTGAGTACAATTTCTGAAATGAATCAATGTTAAGCGCGCCAGGCGTTCGCCAACATGCCTGCTGCCATTCGTCAAACCAGTCATTCGCGTGTACCATTATGGCCCTGAGTGCGGTGACTTTAAAAGGAAGAGGCAGCGAGTAATATTTGCCATATTTCTCAAGATGTTCTGCCAATGCGCTCCATTCCTCAAGTCGGGTAACGGTGTCGGTGATCTTCTTGGGCGGCTCAGGGTTCATGGCATGCGTCATTTTTGATGATAAGGTCGCTCCGGTTACTGCCGAGTACCATTTGTAAACCTTTTGCCAAGCCATGATTCCGTCTCCATCCATTAGTCCCTTTAATTTTCCTCTGGCCTCCGCACCTTCAAGTTTCTCGTTCAGAATGTACCATAAGTCTTCTTCCATCTGAGTCTTGTCTCCCTCGGTAAACTCATATTCACCTTTGTTGTCGTCCTCGGCTTGCTTGGCTTGACTCGCCTTCAGGTACTCGCTTGCAGTTAATCGACCGTTCATTATGCGTATGATGTCATCATCGTCCTCTTCTGGCACAACTCCGTCAAGCGTCTCCAGCTTCTTGTTTAGCATTTTCAGTGCCGGTCGGTAACTCGGCTTCACTTGGGCTAGTGCGTTCAAGAATTTGTCGTTCCAGTCTCTGAACTTCGCCCTTTCCCCACTGAAGTTCTTTAGCGCCTGTAACGCTTTATATTCGCTTATCGGTTTACTGCTCCCGTGCTTGTTTCCGCTTCCTCCTCTGATTGCTTCCGAGATCTGACCGAACCTTTCGATCAACTTTTCTTGCACTTCACTGTTAGTCTCCAACTCGGTGACCCTTTCCACTAATCTGCGAACATCTCTTTCGAGCACAGCGTTTCTCTTCGTGATCGCTAACAGCATACTGTTGGTCTTGTGGGCACTTTGTAACATTTGGAATGCTTCGGCGTTCGATACCTCCCTCCGGTCCTGTGCTACTCGCTCGTTGATGAACGTTGCGAGCCCAAAGTGGTTTGCGAGTAACGCAGTCTGAACGTAACTGAAGTCTCCGTTCACGTATGCTTGCTCGCACAGGTCGTTGAATCGATTCGGATCCATGTTGACCCAAGCATCTCTGTCTGCCGGCACATTGAGATTAACTGGCGGGTCGCCCTGTCCAGGTCTTGCCGCAGCTGCCGCTGCCGCTGCCATGGCAACCGCGCTCCGCTACCATGCAAAACCCCGAGGAGGGTTCTGCACGGGAGCTTGGCGACAATGATAACGATAGGTCACCTTTATACTCCCGAACTGCGCAACTGGTCGATGTGACTTCGACCGTTAAACACTTGAGCCAAAGGCAGCGGGGTTACTATACCTCCCCTGTCATACGCATGCTTGCATGTTAACACCTCCTCCTCCTCCTCCTCCTCCTCCTCTTCCTCCTCCTCCTCCTACCCCTCCTCCTACCCCTCCTCATCCTCCTCCCCCCCCCCCATGTGGGCCCCCCTGTGCTGTATACGCATGGCTTGTACCCAGGAGCACGGCCAAGCAAACCGCTGGTCAGCCCGCCAGCAGGCGGACTCACGCCCCGCGCGCGCGCCTCGACCGGCGCCGACTCCCTCTCTCTTTGTCTCTCTCTTTGTCTCTCTTTGTCTCTCTTTGGATGACGGCTTGGCGGCAAGCGAGGGGGGGAAATGAGAAGGAGAAGGCCTTCTCAGAAGGCGCGTTCTGAACGGTTGCTGTTGCTTTCCGGAGAAGGCCTAGAGAAAGTTTCTCGGAAGGCCGGGGCGGGGGCTTCCGAGCCGTCGGAGACGGCCTTCTCCTTCTCACTTCCCCCCCTCGCTCGCCGCCGACTCCCTCTCTCTCTCTCTCTCTAGATGATGGCGATCAGTGGCAGTGGCAAGCAAAAGATGATCGAAGGATGTGTGTACGCAGATCGAGACGGGCGCACGCCGAGTGCACCGCTCATCGCTTCTGCCGTTTCGCAGCGCCTCCGTCCAGCGCCCGAGGGTCGCCGACGTACTTGCGCCAGTTGTGCCGCTCGCTCCAGCCCAGCTTCGCCTTCGCCTTCGCATTCGAGTACAGCCCCTCAAACTCGCCGAGCTCCTTGCGGATTGGCACGCCCTCGTAGTATCGGGAGATGATCTCCGCCGTGGTGAGATTGACCGAGTGGTCGTCGTTGGCCGCATTGAAGACCTGGAAACCAAGGCCATCCGTGAGCAACATGCGATGTACCATCTGCCCGAGGTCGCGGGCATCAATGTACGCAAAGATGTTCCGCCGCCGAAGCGTCGGTTCCGCAAAATCCCACTAGCCCTTTAGAGCGTAGGTGGTTTAGGGCGTTTCCTCTTCCAACCCTCCTTCTTCCCCTTCGGGAAGGGGTTTATCACTGTTCCCTATTATCGGGGGCGCGCAAACATGGATTAGCGATCCATTGATTTGGCGCGCGGTCGCCAAATCCATGGATCGGAGGAGGTGCCCTCCCCAAAATGCGGCCAATGCCGCCTCGCTCGTCAAAAACCAATGTAAGGTCCACTTTGGGGCAAAAACTTGGGTCATGATCCGGGTGGGCGCGAGCCCTTTGTACTGTTTCTGACAGGGACGGCGGCGGTGCCCGCACACTGCCTGCTGTGCGCAAGGCCAGCGCACCTGTCAAAAAACAATACGCAACGGACTTCCAGCTAGCATATGTATCATGCGGGGGGACCCCGCGATCTCTGTGCATTGGTTTTTTACTGGGACGGCGGGGGTGCTGGCATATTGCTTGCTATGTGCAAGCGCACTGGACGCCATGATGGCTACCCCGCCGCGATTGCGCACTGGTTTTCGACAAGGGGGGTCGGGGCCGACACGTGTCCAGATGTGTACTGCCACGTGCGCAGGCGCACCAAGCCTGGCACACTGTGCGCGTGTCCCGAACGTGGCGCGCCTGGAGCATGCGGCACACATGGTGCACCTGGATCACGTGGCGCATCTGGCGCACCAAGCGTGCCCGGCTCGCTTCGGCCATAGAGGTGCCTGGCGCACCTGGCGCGCGTAGTGCGCCGTGCACGCCTGGCGCATCTCGCCCCAGCGTTGCGCATATGGGTGGGGTCTGCTTGGTTCCCATGCAGCTGCCCGTCCAAAGGCTACCACTGAACAAGCTGCGGCTTGGGTGCTTCTTATGTGCTGGGAGGGCGGGTGGGAGTGAGCGAGACGGCTTGCGGGCCTGGACCTGGACGGGGCGCTCCGCGACCCACTGGAGCGTCCAAGAAGGCCTCGGCGAGAAGGCAAACATCAATGCTGTTCCTCAGATTTGGGACCCACTTGGGCACCCTTGGGGGGGGGACCAATCTACCACCGCCCCTTCTTTGATCGAACTCCTCCAGGATGGCCCCAAAATGGACACCACGGCTCCAAAGAGTACCCCAAGCGGGCGCCCAGGAGGCTCAAAGAGACCAGCAAGAGGCCCCCAAAAGCCTCCCAGGAGACCCCCAAGGGGTTCCAAGAGGCACCCAAGACGCTCCAAGAGGCCCCCAGGGCCGACAAGCGGCCCCCAAGACGTCCCAAGAAGACCCCAAGGAGCTCTCAAGAGACACGCGAAGAGACTCCGAGAGGCATCCAAGAGGCAACTGGCCTTTCTGCTCGCCCTCCTCCTCCTCCGCATCATCATCATCCAGCTGTTCCTCCTCCTCCTCCTCCTCCTCCTCCTCCTCCTCCTCCTCCTCCTCCCTCCTCCATCCAGCCCCCTCTCCCTGCCCTCCCCGTCCTCCTCCTCCTCCTCCTCCTCCTCCTCCTCCTCCTCCTCCTCCTCCTCTTCCATCCTCCGGCTCCTCCTCCTCCTCCTTCTTTTTCTCCTCCTTCTCCTCCTTCTCAATTCTCCGCCTCTTGGGTATGACGGATTCCCCATCACTTCATTCCACGTTTTGCTCCTCCACACACCTAATGAAGGCAACTCGCCTGAGCATCGTGTTTGGACGAGATGGTGGGGTTACTTTTTGGTCAACAAGCTCGCGAGGCGGGTCGAAAGCCGTCCGAACACTAGTCGGGCCGCCACTAGGCAGCAGGCAAAGAAAGGCAAGCGAAGCGAACGAGCGGGCAACCACTCAGAAGGAGAGCCAGAACCGATACTCCCAAACCCGGTGGCGTTGGAAATCCGGGTGGCGACCAGCAAGTAAGCGCAGCCAGAATGACGCGGCGGCGCGACCATAAACACGCAGAGGTCGATCGCTTCTGGTGGGGATACTTTTTTGGTCGGCGGCTCCGAGGCAGCGGACAGGGAGCGGTAGGCACTCTGGTGGGGTTACGCGAAGTGTCATGAATATTTGGGGAAATCCTGAGCATACTCGTGCGGCTCGACGACGTTGTTGATGCGGATGCCGTATATATCGGCACCAGTTCGTAGCTGGAAGCATCGCGCCGTTACCTCGTTGCATACTTTAGACGTCGCGTAGCTGTCCTCTGGGACGACAGGATGCTCTTCGTCAATCGGCAGGTACTCAGGCTTGCGCTCACCGCTGGCGAAGCACACGCCGTAGGTGGTCTCGCTCGATGCGAATATGATTTTGCGTATGCCCAATTTCAACGCCGCCTCGAGAACGTTGTACGTACCCATCGTGTTGATACGGTAAGCCTCATTGTCTGGCCGGAGCAAGATCCGGGGGATCGCCGCAAAGTGGACGACCGCATCGGGCTTGGGCATTGGACCAATCCCGCTGTCGAGTTCGCCGAGATTGTGCATCATGGAGAGAGCATTGTAGCACTGGCCCGAGTCGGTGATGTCTGCCTTGAGATTGTCCACGCCATGCACGTCCAGCGGCACGAGATCGACGTTCAGGACCTTGTGGCCGTGCGCAAGGAGCTCTGGGATCACGTGCTTCCCAGCCTTGCCGCTGCCGCCCGTGAAGACGATTCTCATTGCTTTCTCTTGTGATGCGATGCGGTAGGGCATAAACTTTGGGAGGTCTGCGCGGAATCCTGGGATCCGCGCTGGACCCCCCATGCCTGGCGCGAGGGGCGCGCCAGGGGCGGCGCCTGAGGCGCCGCCAGCGGGGCCCAGCGCAGATCCGAGAAATCCGCGCGGACCTCCGAAAATGTATGATCATGCCGATTTTTGGAGGCTTGGAACTGAGCACCAACACCAAAACAAGGGGTTGCCTCCACCGGGGCAAGATGGTCCCAGGTTTCGGTGTTGGTGGCAATCTTTCGGTCACCCAGGCAGCCCGAACATCACCACCATCACCGAGATCGGGACCGTCTTCCCTCGGTGGAGGCGCACCTCCGACATTGGTGCTGGTGTAAGCCGGCCTCCAAGTTTGTGCTCTTCGAGCAGTGCCTTCTCGCGCGACAGCCCGAACCCGCGGGCGCCGGCGAGTGCCTCGACCGTGGCAGGCTGTCGCAGCGACGAACCCCTCGCCTCACCGCTCGAGTTGCAGCACCGCGTGCTCCTGCCCGAGAAGGCCCTCGCTCGGGCCAAGAAGGCAACGGTGCGTGCAGCTACAACTGACAACGACGGCGATGAAGGGTTAGTGCGCCCGTCACCGACATCGTCCCCACTCGCCAGCGCCAGCATGCATGCTCCCTTGATGAAGCCCGGCATCAAAAGAAATCAGTTGCGACATCGATATATGGAGGGGCGCGACGTTTCTCTGAGACAGCCTCCAGCTGTCCACGTAGTGCTCAAGTCAATGCACAGCCTGCCTTTCGTAACCACACCAGCCCTTTGGGCGTAGGTGGTCTAACGAGTTCTCCCTTTCCTCGTCTGCAACCCTGCTCCCTTCGGGAAGGGGTACCCTCCCACTCCTCACCCTGAGGTTTTTGCTTTTATTGGTGGGGGGCGCGATGTGTCAGAGGGTGCTTTTCGTCCAAGATGGCTGCAAGAGGGCCTCCGATGCACCAAGATGGCCTGCAAATTGGCTCAAGATAGCCGAAGCTGGTTCAAGACAGCTTCCGACATATCCCTCAGAGGCCCGACGAGGGCCACAAGACGGTTCCAAGTCCTCTCGGAGCCCCCTCGGGACCCCCTTAAGAGGCCAACATCCTTCAAAAACCTCAGGCAACTCAACGATTGTTGCCTTCTCACCTTTTCGCTTCCGCTGCGTTGAGGCCTCAAGATTGCCCCAAGAGGACCCAAGAGAGCCCAAAGAGGGGCCCAACAGGCCATACAGACAGCCTCAAGAGCGCCCCAAGAGGGGCCCAACAAGGCCTCAACAGGCGGTTTTGAGGATCCCAGATGGGGGACCAAGATAAAAGGTTCCCCCCCCCATTTTGATCGATGACCTCCAAGATGGCCCCAGAAAGCCTTCCAGGGCTCCTAGGAGAGCCCCCAGAGAGCCCCAAGAGGGCTCCACAAGGGCCCCAAGACGGCCCCCAAGAGGGCCCCAAGAGCGTCCCACAATTATTATTCTGATTATGCTTAGCAGCCGTCTTCTTCTTCTTATTATTATTATTCTTCTCATGCGTAAGTTAATTCTGCATAGTATTACTATCCTTATTCGTAGCATCAGCATTATTATTACTATTATTCGTGTTCTGAATATTTGTGTTGCTCGAAATGTATTAATTTCTCTTTCATTGTTCCTCTTCCTCTTTCTCCACTTCCTCCTCTCCCTACCCCTCCTCCCCTCGCCCCCCCGCGGGCCGCAGGGATGGCCCGAAGAGGCCCTCCAACGCCACCCCCTTGCTCCCAGAGATCTCTCTGTTCATCCTGGTTGCCCGCTTTGTTTCACTATGTCTCTTCGTCCCTTTTCCCGTCAACTCTCATGAGCAGGGTTTTTGAACGGGCTGGTGGGGATACGCGGCGTGAAGAATGCAATGCGATGCTGAGATCGAATATTTCAATGGATTTGGAAAGGTGTGCTGGCCAACCACCGACGAGACTTCTTAAAGGTAAAGCAGGAAGCGCAAGGAGCCCTTGTCCTCCACTAGTAGAGAGAGAAGGAGTGTACTTAGCCGCGATGCGTCCAAGGCTCAATGCCCAAAAAACGACAGGGCCGTTCTTGTACAGTTTTCCGGGAACTGCATCTTGATCATCTCAACGGCAAAAACAACTGTCCACCGAAACAATGCACATATTCAACGAAACGGCCTGGGCAACCCGGGGATCCGAAAGACGTTCGGCACCGGCTCGAGAATGGTTCGGATCTGGTTGCAAACAATGATATATAGACCATGCCCCCCCCAACAGAAACGACAACGGTGAAACAATCGCGACAGAGACATCACCACCAACCACGGCGACAAAGACTGTAAAAGCAGACGAACGGAAGCGTTATAACAAAACATGCACTTGTGCTTCCAAGGCCCGCTACGGTCCGGGGGGTCTGGGGCGAACCCCCAACAGCACGCCGCCCCCCCCCCCTTTACTTAGGTCGGGCATGCCCCCCTACAGGCGGATTTTGGAGGACAAAGTAGAAATGATCCAAACATGCTCAAAATAGTAAGACAACAACAAAACTTGAAAAATCTCCCCATATCGTTTTTTGACTAGGTTTGAATACTCCTCCTGTAAAGGGACACGCCCGACTTAAGCCCAGACTCTCTGGTTGTCCTGGAGGGGCACCCCCATGGACCAGCGCCACAAGGGCCCCCTGGCGGAGTGACCGCACGTGCAGGAGTCGAACACCTGCACAGAGATCCAGGTCTGTGCTTGCTCCTCTGTTCTCCTCCCTCCCCCTTCCTCCTCTGGTTGCTTTCCTGCTTCTTCCTGCGAGGGGGGATGATGATGATGATGATGATGATGATGATGATGATGATGATGATGATGATGATGATGATGATGATGATGATGATGATGATGATGATGATGATGGTGATGATGATGAGGAGGAGGAGGAGGAGGAGGAGGAGGAGAAGGAGGAGGAGGAGGGGGCTGGGAGGAACGAGGCGACTCTCCTTCGGATATCTCTGCTGCTCCCTGGCTGCAGGACGCTGAGGCTAATTTAGCCTCAGCGTCCTGCAGCCAGGTTTAGTAAACCTGCTTGCCCAGGCGACCCTGCGCCTCAACAGGATGCGGGTGCCGTTCGGACATCTTTAGTGCCACCAGGAGGCGACCCAGACCAGGATGTGATAAGGGAGGAGGAGGGGGAGGAGGAGGCGGGGGAGGAGGAGGAGGAGGAGGAGGACGAGGAGGAGGGGGAGGAGGAGGAGGAGGAGGAGGAAGAGGAGGAGGACCCCATTCAATGACCCGTGGCCCGGGACGTGGGCGCCCCATGCCCCGTGAGGAAGGGCCGCCCGGGCGCTTTTGGGACGCGCCAGTCTGAACGCGGAGCACAGGACGCAAACGACGCTCAGGACGCTCTTGGCCAAGGAAGGACGCTTCGGACGCTTAGGGCGAGTATGACTCTTGGGGGCCCCTCTTTCCAAGACGTTTAGAGCATCTCGGCCCAGCGCAGGCGACGACACAACTTCCTGGGGCCCGGCTCCATCCAACAAGTCCCCAAGAGCACCGACAACCCTGCGACGGCGTTCGAGGGCAGCAGAATAATGTCTTCGAAATCCCTCGAGCCAAGCAAACCTAGCGACAAGATGCCCGTCCTCTTCTTCATTCACGTCGTCCGTCGCCGCCACCGTCGGCGGCGGCACCGTAGGCGTCGGTCGTCGTCCTCCTTTTCTTCCTCGTCCTCCCTTTCCTGTCCCCTGCTCGGATAGCAGGGCCCCTGGAAGCACCCAGGGATAGGGATCAGGATAGGGATAGGGATAAGGGGGAGGAGGAGGAGGAGGAGGAGGAGGAGGAGGAGGAGGAGGAGGAGGAGGAGGAGGAGGAGGGGAAGGAGCAGGAGAAGGAGGAGGAGCAGGAGGAGGGGGAGGAGGAGGAGGAGGGGGTGGAGGATGGATGGATCATCATCAAAGGAGGCCCTGGCGACCGTCTGCGCGCAGACGACCGCCAGGGCCCCAGATGTCGATTGGCTCCCGCGCCGCCGCCAGCACGCCGCACGGACGCCGAGGCGACGAGGGAAGGGCTCCGAAGCAGCCCAGACAGGCATCCGTCACGACCCTGGCCTACCCCGAGGGCAAGCCAGGGGGACGGAAGCCACCCCCGCGTGGACGGACGGGCCACCAGACGGCCCCAAGGGGCCGCCAGCGGGAGGGGACACGGGCAAGCGCACCAGCGCGAGCCCGACACCGCGGCGCACCCCCCCGAAGCCAGAGGGCCGCCAGCCAGGAATCCGAGGCAGAGCCAGCGAGAGGCCAGCCACTCATCAAAAGTCGCCGACCCCGCCATCCACCTGGCAGAGGTACACGCCCTTGCGGAAGTAGGCCTGCTGGAAGCGGGCGCTCCCCATGAAGTCGTGCACGGAATCGAGGGCAATGCCCTCGGCCTCGCTCTGGAGGACGACGTCCTCCAGGCTCGCGCCGTCGTCGGGGTGCCCGATCGTCGGCTCGCCGTTCGCGCGCTCCTAGACGCTCATCACGTGGCTGCGCGCGAACAGCTTGGAGAAGAGCCGATCGACGACGCAGCGGCTCGGACTGGACAAGACCCTGCTGTCAGGAACCGCGGCCGCCCTGGGCCCCGAGCTCGGCGGGCTCCTCGGTGGTGTCCGCCTGGCCTAGCTCGGCGGGCCCCACGGTGGTGTCCGCCTGGACCAGCTGGTCGGGCTCCTCGATAGTATGCGCCTGGACCAGCTCGGCGGGCTCCTTGGAGGTGTCCGTCTGGACCAGCTCGGCAGGTTCCTCGGCGGTGTCCGCCTGGAGGAGCCTGGCGGGCTCCTCAACGGTGAGCGCCTGGACCAGCTCGGCGGGCACCGCGCCGGCACGGCCTCAGTGGGCCCGTCGACGGTGATCCAGCTCCCGAAGTTCCCACGGCATCGAACTCCAGCACCGAGCCCACGGACTCCACCAGGACCCGCTCGGGCTCGACCATGGGCTCCTCCTCGTGCAGCTTCGATGCCTCCAGCTGCTCCTTCGGCTGGGCGGTCGGGGAGGCAACGCACTCGAACTCTACGTCCGAGCTCGCCTCGTCGACGGGGCAATCGCCAGCGTCCAGCGCGGCAGCGGTGTCCCGTGCGGCAGCAGTGTCGCCATCCGCGGGGCAGCAATCCCCCGCAGGGGCCCCAAGGCCCGCGGAGCCGCCGACGCCCAGCTCCTGCTGCATTTGTTTTGAACTCAACGCTCCACCTCTGCATCTCGACATGGGAGGTCGAACGAGCCGAGGACGACCAGCACGAGCACCCAGACGAAGTAGAGCAGCGGCACGAGAGGGACGTACAGCTGCGCCTCGATGAAGGCGAGGCCACCTCTGATGCGTTGACCTTCGATGACGACTTGACCACACCCCATGCCCAGCGCCGTCCAGCGCGTGCAAGCCGGGCGTGACGGGCGTGGCCTCGCCCCGGGGCGGCGTCGCATCGCCTGTCAGCAGGCGCTCGAGCGCTCGGGCGCCCCAGCCCCCGTGAGTGGAGGCGCCAGCGGCCGAGGGGCGAGGCGGGCCGCACGCCGCGCCAGGCGGAGGCGCGTGCCTGGCCCAGTTCCCCTGCTGCAGCGCTGCCTCGCGCTGCGCGATGGTGTCGGGCGGCATCCGAAGCAGCCTGGCGGCCTGCAGCGCCTCGCCCATGCAGGCCACACGCGCCCCGAGGCTGTCGCACAGCCGCCAGTGCTCGCGGAGGGAGGCCTCCACCAGCGCAGCCGCCCGCGACGGCCCCTCATCACGGCGAGCCTCGCGCCGCAACCTGCGGGCGAGGGTGCAGGAGCTCGCGGTCGCCCAGCGTCTGCCGCCAGCCGCGCCACCCGCCGACACAATGGCCTCTGGCGCGCCACGCGCCTGCGCGGCGCGCGCTGCGAGGGCCTCCCTGAGCGCGGCTCACTTGAGCCAAAATGGCTACGGAGGATGAGGAGGAGGAAAAGGAGGAGGAGGAGGAGGAGGAGGAGGAGGAGGAGGAGGGAGGAGGAGGAGGAGGAGGAGGAGGAGGAGGAGAGGGACCAGAAGGAGGAGGAGGAGGAGGAGGAGGAGGAGGAGGAGGAGGAGGAGGAGGAGGAGGAGGAGGGAGGAGGGGATGCCAATGCTCGGCGTGGTCGGTGCCGCCAGCATCGGCGGGCCACAGGCAGAGCTGGCGACCGCCCGCAGAAGTGGCTGGGGAGGGCCCGTCTTTGCTGGGGCTCGGGGCGTGCATGTCCCTGTCTGGGGTGGATGGTGCGCTAGCAAGCACTCCTCCTCCTCCTCCTCCTCCTCCTCCTGCTCCTCCTCCTCCTCCTCCTCCTCCTCTCCTCCTCCTCCTCTCCTCCTCCCTTCTCCTCCCCTCCCCCTCCTCCGCCTCCTCCTCCTCCCTCCTCCTCCCTCCTCCCCTCCTCTCCACCTCCTTCTCCTCCTCCTCTTCCTCCTCCTCCTCCCCTCCCTCCCTCCTCCTCCTCTCCTCCTCCCTCCTGCTCCTCCTCCTCCCTCCTCCTCCTCCTCCTCCTCCTCCTCCTGCTCCTCCTCCTCCTCCTCCTCCTGGGGCAACCCCGTCGGTCGGTGGTCTTCTGCGGCACGAGGCGTGGACCCTCTGGCGCGAAGGCTTCCTTCCCGCCAGGTCCCCCCCCCCCGCCTGGCTGAAACAGCAATGCCCTGCTCTACCAACCTGGAACATATCCCTATCCGTAAGATTGACACGCCAAAAGGAGATGACAATCTTAGGGATACACGCTCAGAAACTGAGGAGATCCCTAAGATCGCCATCGTGATGAGGCGATGCCCAACATAGGGATAGGGATATGTTCCAGGCTGGTAACTGCTCTGGGGGCGACATGGAACGCATACGCCGTCGGCGTCTCGGCGGCCCGTGGTTGCGTCCAGGGCAACGGCTTTTGCCCGATTGCTGGCTCTCTTGGTGTTTGGCGAGAGGTCGCACCAGGCTTGCAAATGCCCGCGCCGTGTAGACCAGGAGATCCTGCGAAAGCGCCAGAATGCAAGAGATGGGTTCGCACGGAAAGTACGAGTGAGAAGTAAGTAATAATCGCAAATACTAGCTTGAAAGACATGCACATCGCAAGCGCGATAACGCGTATACGAAAAACTGTGAAACAAATACGGGACAATGTGAAACGAGTGCGAACAAATTCCCCAATCAGTGCTTGCAGTGAAAAGGTCCTAACAGAGATTGAAGGATTTGGCGAAAATTCTGTCTGGGCGGATTTCGGTGGGCGCCAGGGTTCCCAAGTTCCCGGTTCCGGGTTCCGGGCCGATTTCGGTGGGCGGCGGGGTTCCCGGGTTCCAGAGTTCCTGGTCGATCTTCTTATCGATCGGTCTCACCATCGATCTCATGACCCAACTCTCTATCTATCTCACTATTGATCTCACGATCGATCTCACAATCGATCTCACAATCGATCTCACTGTAGATCGCACGATAGATCCCACGATCGATCTCACAATCGATCTCATTGAAACGACTCTACTATCGGTCTCACGATCGGTCTTACAGTCGTCCTCACTATCGATTTCACGATCGATCTCATAATTGATCTCAAAATCCATAACATTAAATTTCAAACCATCCACTGTTTGGGGCTTTTTTCCCTGGTGTAATGATGGAAAGCATACAACTGTGTGACACAGTTGTGAAGCAAGTGTGCATCACATGTGAAGGAGCAACAACATCACACTTGTCGCACACGTGTTTCAAACTTGACTGTGTCAGCCATACTTGTTCATACTCTGATATCCGAGCTCTTCGTACTTGTAATTCGTATTCGCATTCTGTCGTCATTCCATGACTATACTGATTACGGGCTGAACTACTGGCCTAGAAGGCCGGGAATTTAAAACACCAAGCACGGTGCAGATTTTGTCGAACCCGCGCGGATCGCTATTGCCGGAATGTCCCGCAATGCTCCTCCCCCTCCTCCTCCTCCTCTTCCTCTTCCTCCTCCTCATCCTCCTCTTGTTGGTTTTCTTCGCCCCATCCCCCTCCTCCTCCTGTTCCTCCTCCCTCCCGTTCATCCCTCCCTTTCCTCCCTTTTTCGTCTTCTCCCTCATCGTTCCTGCCAGACAAGTCCTCACAGTTGACGGTCTCCAAGATGCGCATGACAAACACTTAAGTTGTCAACTACCCGCTACCCAAGCTGGGTGAATTAATTGTTTGCGTTAGGCGGCAAATCCAACGGAACTACCGTTGTCGAAACGGAGATACCATTGGACATTTTCTTGAACGGTATGACCCTTCGAACTTGCATGCGTTACAGCGGGAAGGATGGAAGACGAGTCCTTCGCCAAACGAGGTCGCGCCTGAATGGTATTCAGGCCCACGGGGCGCTCGGCTGTCGAGGGGGGGCCCCCCGCAGCGGAAAAGAGAGCGTGCAGGGACGGATGACGGATTCGGTGCGGGAGGCCGTGCGCGTTTTTGACGCATCTGGGGTTCGCTCTGGTCTTCTGGTGATCATCCTCCCTCCTCCTCCTCAACCCTCACCTCGTCTCTTCCCCATCTCCATGCTGCTGTTCCTCTTTCCTTGCCTCATCCCTTCCCTCCTCCTCCTCCTCTTCCTCCTCCTCCTCCTGCTGCTCCTCCTCCTCCTCCTCCTGCTCCTCGTCCTCCTCCCCTTCCCCTTCCTCGGGCAGGCCGCGGGCTCAGCCGGCGCAGTCCTCCACCGCCCCTCCAGCGAGGCGGTTTCCCCATAGGAACGGTTCGCGGACGGAAGCCGTTCCTAGGGGGGCGGGGGTGCGCCAGCCAGGGCCCATGTGCCACTGATGCACGGGAGGCCGTAAGCGACGGCGACGGCAATGGCGTCGGCCGCGAAGTCGTCGTCCCCAGGCGCGCCGCGCAGCAATTTGCGCCCGGCCCTTGCGGCGCCGGACAGCGCTCCGCGCCAGCGCAAGAGCTGCAGCAGCAGCACGAAGCCCGCGCCAAGCGCGTGTTCCTCGCGCCTGCGCAGCACGGCAAGCCCGCGCCCGCGCCCCGCAACTGCACGGCAGCACTCGGCGAGCGTCGTCGGCAACAGCCCGCTGTCAAGCCAGCGGCTGGGCGTTTGTTGGCGCGCGCGCTGGGCCTCAGCCAGGGCCCGCGTCTGGCTTCGATCTGGCCACTCTGAGGACTGCGCCGCGGCCCATGCAGCGCCGACGCCGGCGTGGCCGCGTCCGCCGCGTGCCGCTGCAGCACGTTGCCGAAGCCCTGCTGCAGCTGCCAAGTGGCCACGGAACGGGCGACGCCCCCCGCGGGGTCGCGCTGCCGCGCGAGTGCCGCCGCGTCCTCGCCGAAACTCCCATGGTCCCCGACGACGATTGGGATCGCCAGCGCGCCCGGGCAAAGAGCTCGCTTCTGGCCTTTTGCGGCGGCGGCAGCGGCCCCGTCCAGCACCGCGGCCCCGTTTGCCACGGCCTCCTGCGACGCTGCGCTCATGACCGCAAGGTCGATCAAGAGTGGCGCAGTGACTCTTGGCGCGTAGACCGCCAGATCCGCGCGGGATGCAGGGTTCTGCGGCGAATCGTCGGGCACCACAACCTCCCAGTGCACCGCACAGCCCCGTTCATCGCAACAGTGCGCCAGCGCCGCGCACAAGACTGACCACCCCCGAGCGTACTGGTCCTTCGTGTCCAGCGGCGCACCGTCTACGCCGCCGTCCGGGCGCCGCCGTTGGAAAAATCGATGCGAAACGGCAAGTCGAGGTTCAGCCGGAATCCCGTCGCGATGCCGACCAGCGCGTCGGCGAGGCGAAGGGACGCCCGCGTGGGGGACTGCAGCTCGCCCCGACGCCTCCGCGGCCGCGTCGGGGCCCTCGCCTGCCGGTTACAGCTAGTGGGTGGGGCCGCAGCCAGGGAGTGCTGCGTTGCTGCCAAGGCCTCGTCGCCCACTTTGGCGGTCGCGTCCTCCAGCGCCGTCTGTAGCGTGGCAGGGAGACGGCGGCGCGCCCAAAAGCTCATGGTGGTCAGGGCGCTCGCGTCCGTCAGGCCCAGCCTGCGCAAGCAGCGCGGCAGGCTGAGATGCCAGGCAGCGGCGTGAGCTGCTGGCGCCGTCAGCCCCGCGCCTCTGTAGCCCCAGGCCCTCCTCTTCCTCCCTCCTCCCTGCGCTCCCGCGCCCTCCATTTCCCACCTCCACCCCCTCCGCGCGCGGGGGGGGGGCGGATGGAGGGAGCCGGGGGCCCCACAGCAGTCCTCGAGGAGCTCCGCGCCCTTGGAGGGGAATGCGTCGTGGTCGTCGTCGTCCTCCTCATCCTCCTCCTCCTCCTCCTCCTCCGCCGCCTCCTCCTCCTCCTCCTCCTCCTCCTCCTCCTCCGCCTCCTCCTCCTCCTCCTCCTCCTCCTCCTCATACCCCTCCTTCTTTTTTTCCAACGTCGTCCTCTGGGGCTTCCTCCACCCTCCTCCTCCCCCGCCTCCGCTGCCTCTCTCCTCCTCCATCTCCAACTCCCTCCTCCTCCTCTGGCGCCCGCGTCTTTGCGAGCCTGGGTCGTTTTAGCTGTTTCGGCGTGAAGGGGGAGGGACAGAGAGAGAGGGAGGGAGAGGGAGAGAAAGAACGATACATTTACTGGCACTGGCACGAAGCCACTTTGATATTGAGATGGTGCCTGTTGTATTGAAAGAGCCACAGACGCAAATGCCAAACGCAAAGCCCAAAGGCAATGCGATGTTGTTTTCAGTGGATCTGGCAATTGACTGACTATCACGTTCTAACATGAACTGACCGTGCGGGATAACACCCAGCAGGG